TGCAAACTAAAACGATGTTAGAATGTGCTTAGTGACGAAGCAGTGGTATGCAAAAAGATAAACAAAAGTTCGGCCTGCATAACGGTTATTACCTCGCGAAAGATGCTGTCACGATGTTTTGCGGATAAATGCATTTTGAACTAAGGGAACAAAGCAGAGCTGGGTTAGCATACAAACGTTGCTTTGTCTTGTGCTGCAGTGTCATGCCCAATCTTTCTTTCTGCGAAATCTTGTTTTAAGGTGTCTACAACGTAACTTCACGTGATCTTCCATTTGATCTTAACAAATATGGCAAGATGAATCGTGCAGAGCTGGAAGAATCCTTGAGGAATACAGTTCGCTTGCTTGCTAATGAGTCTGCACCCCATAGCCGATTCAAAAGGGACGTATCCGCTCTGAATCCTACTACGTTAGCACCATTTATGTTTGCGCCAACCATTTTGACTGTAAGCCGATTGCTTCTAGGAAAGAAATAGCAAATTTTTTGTGTTCCAGCTAGTTGTTCTTGGGCCAGTAACCTTGTCACCATATATATTTTCTCCAAGTATTCTATCTCCAACTGTTCTAAGCCCCATAACTCTATCGCCATATATATTTTCGCCGGGTATATTATCGCCAACTGTTTTGAGCCCGCCGGTGCTGTCACCTCAGGTCCGCTGTTTTTGACATCAGTAAATGCTCTCAGCTGTACAATATGTATTCAGGTGGCCAATCCACTAATCTTATCGCCGTATGTGCTTGGTCCCAATGTGCTTTCGCCAGCTGTGATGAACCCCTACGTACTCACACCATATGTATTATCACCAAACGTCATCAATCCATACGTGTTGTCGCCTATAGTTTTATCACCATTCGTCCTTTCTCCCGATGTTCTTTCTCCTACGGTGCTATGTGGGGGTGTGCTGTCACCGAAAGCGTTTTCGCCTTCTCTTGCATCAGACGGATGGCTGGGTGTGGACGTTCTCTCACCGAGTTTCATGTCCTGAAACAAGTCAAAGAACGGTGACAATAAGCAATTGAATGTACATGCATAATTCATGCATAACATCCAAACTAGTATTCAGCATTCTTTCGCCTTTCGCCTTAACATTGTAAAAACTTACATTTGTTTACAACTCTAAGAAGGCCAATTTTGCTTTGCTAAGCTCCTTTGTGTTTTACTAAAAACTTCTTCTTCAAAGCTGTTAACTTTCTTACATACTGCTTTACAGATTTATGTATTCCTTTTTTTGTGCTAACTACGTTATGTTTGTATTGTCCTAACTATGTTATTGTTTGTATTAAACTAACTGAGCAAGTTACTGATTGGAACATATTGAGATGTTCCTCAAAGCTCTTCACAGGGCTTCCTTTCGCAATCTCAACTTTGTTTATAATAATGCTGTACAATAACTAACGCTTATCATCCCTTGATACACCTTAGGATGCTACTTCACGGAATTCTGTTTTCTTACATGCTGTTGGTCTGTTATGTTTCTTATCGCATAAACTTTGTGAACTTTTGCAATGCACATGTATAGCCAGAACATGGATATATGTATAGACCCGCATGTTTTTTTTCCAAAGGTTGATTCTCAAGAAGAACTAACTATCTTGAAAAATTTTTGTAAAATCAAAAGCGC